TAATGTTTTAATACTTTCAAGTTTTATTGATTCCGCATGTAACATATTACTCCGTCTTGTTTAATAAATAAATAAGTATTGTTTAATGCTCCTTTTTCCAATTTAAAAAAAAAAACTAGACCCGTTAACACTGCGACTCGAATATTCGAATAAATTTGAGTATTCGGGTTGTGGCGTTACAATTTGGTATCAGAGCCTTAAGGTTTTTAAAAATGATTTTCGGACCTAATAAATAATAGGGAAGAATTATCCATCTCGTCCACTCCGCCATCAGCACTGATTCCGACAGGTATTTTATTTCTATCCGATTTAATACACTAATGTTTAATTGAAAATATATAGAGGATGGAAAACATAATGGATATCGACTTGATTGACTCGAGTGTTGGGTCAAATGACATCGAGATGCCAAAAAACGAAACAAAACCAGAAACGAAGTATCTCGTGGGAGATTCCTATTGGGCAACTTACCACGAAGAAAGAGTTTGGAAAATGTGGGAACGCGCCTACGAATGGGATCAACGCGAACAATTAAGAAGGTACGGGATCCCGTGGGCACCACTGCTAGAACCACTCAGGGAACTGGAGGTTCCAGTGCCGGAACCATTGCCAACAGAGGAATCATCAGTAAACCGCCCAGATTCGGATCTAGAGGAAATATCAGAAATAGAGTTCTACACTCACCTTGGAAAACGAAAGAGGGATACAGACCCTTTCATGGAGGGGAAATCAAAGCAGAAATGGCCAAAAGAATGTCTTCCAGTGAAAAAGAGGATATAAAATAAGAACTTAGGAAGAAAGTCTGTGTGTAATATATAATAATATGATATATCTACTAATAATGCTATAATAATGTAATATATATAGAATGCTCAATAAAACGTGGTATGTGAAATATTACTAATACCAATGTTGTACTTTTTAGATGAGTACTCACTCCGTTCATAACGAAAATATCACACGTGAGGAAGGGACGAATCAAAACGTCCCAACCATTTCCCAAATTTTGACAGCAGTCCAACACATGGCGCCATCACAGTACACGGTGGAAAAGCTGAAAAGAAACGGAGCCGAGGAGTTTTTAGCTGACGATATCAGGAGACCAGCCAAAGCTGAATACTGGTTGGTACGGACAAAAAGAGCTCTAAAAACTTTAAAGGTTCTGGAAGACGATAAACCACAGTTGGCCGTCGCACTGCTACAAGACGCCGCATATGACTGGTGGAAAAGGATTGAAAGAGATCCCGCGACTCCTGAACATATCACATGGGACTTCTTTGAAACTGTTTTTAAAGAAGAATATGTTCCGGACAGGTACCGGGAAGCGAAGCGCAAGCAATTCACAGAGTTGAAGCAAAATGGTCGACCTTTGATCGAGTACCGGCAAGAGTATGATAAGCCGGCAGAATATGCGACAGATTCGGTGAACAACACCATGAGAAGATGGGAAAAATTTGTTGAAGGCCTGGACCATGCACTGGGATTAGCTGTGGCAGCGGTTGATTATACCACCTTCAATGCAGTTTATGCCAAGATAGAACGAGCTGAAGAAAGAATTGACGCCAGGAAAGCTTCAGAAAAGAAAATAACCTTTGGAGGGTCATCTCGATCGTTTCCACACCCAACATCATCCGGGAAAAGGTACTCTCCTGGAAATCAACCCTCCCCA